TAAAAATAATCATAAGTTATAAAATTAAAACTATTCATATCATATTTTATCTTGTTTATAATCATTAACAAAATAATTTTACAAGAAAATTAAAAGAATAAAATTACTAAATAACTTTAATAATCATTTTTATCAAATTTTTCACTTTTCTAAATTAAAATTATTTGATAAATTATATCAAATAAAAATAATAATAGTTATAAACTATTAATATATTATGAAAATTATTCTTTTTATTTTAGATAATATTTTTAATATATAAAATAATATAATTTACAATAAACTTTGTATGATTTATATAAAGTTTAGTAAAATATATTATTATCATAGTAATATAAATTTCTTTCTTTAGTTATATAAAACTCTCTTTTTCTTTCATTCTATAATTTATCACATGATTTATATTATTTTTATTTTATTATTACTCTTTATATTTATCCTTTAAATCTATATTTATCTCCTAAATATCATATTTATCATATTTATATTCTAAATTTGAGATTTACTTTTTCAATTATAAATGTATCATATTGATATTAATGTTTCATATATATAATAGATTAATTAATTAATATAATTATAGATTCCTTCTTTTATATTTTATTCTTCTAAAATATTTCATTCTTCTAAAAAAAATCTTGATATTATTAATATTATTAATATTTCAACCTTAATTATACAAAAATCTTAATATTTCAGTTATAGTATTTTAATTATATTGGATTTGGATGATTATTATATAATATGAAAGATATATCAGTTCAGAATTTGGATGCGCAACTATTAATATTAAAGAAATTTTTTATTGGATAATATGACAAATAATGTGATTGGTTGGTGGGCAAGAGGAATTTTTATTGGATATTGAGAGCACAAAACGTGATCTGTAATGATTGGCTGGGTTGATTCGGAATCAACATAGCGATTGATCTATGTTGGATTGAGGATTTCAAAACAACACACAAGTTGAAACGAAATTCCGGATCGACCTAGGTTGATTTCAAATCAACTCGCATCCCGTTCCGACTTATGACATTTATATATATAATTATAATTATTATTAATCTCCCTTTATAATAAAATCAAAATAATATTACTAGATTAGAATATTAATATTCTTATTAATATGAAAGAACTTTAAGAACAAATATGCATAATTTATTATTATTTATATTATTTTATTATAATATTATATAAAATATCTTATATAAAATATCTTCACATTAATTAGTCTTGAAATTTTTAATTACAGAAAATTATCACAAATTTTAAAAATTCTTTATTATAAAATATTGATTATTTACTTTAATTTAATAAAAATACAAAATATATAAATGAATAACGGCCATATATTATTAAATTGAATGAACCAAGACATAATTTTAATGTTTAAACCGTTTTAAATTCAGTTTTACAGAAAATTAAAGATGTTGTCACCATACATAGATAAGTATTATCTTACGTGATAAATGGCATGCCCTTACTAGAAACCTAGAAACTTCCTGCCATTTTCGTATTAAATATTTCCGTGTGTTTCAGACTACATTTATCAAATGCCTCCGGTATTTTATTCTATATTTAATCTCCTATTTAGGATGTGCTCTTAACAATGTCTGTGACACTCGTACCTAGGCGGCTTTTCGCCAATTACATGTACGCCAACTACATATACATATACATGTTTTACCCATTACATGTATACGTAATGTAGTGGTATGCAGTGCAGTGCAAGATGTAGTACGAGTAATAAATCACTATATATTTCATAAATTTCAAAGAAAAGTTTCTGATTATATTGTATTATGATGCTTCAAAAGTGGCTTGATGATGCGATTGCTGATGACGAGATTCATAAAATACCACTCGAAGAAATTACTAAGGGAGATGCTATTGGCGCAGGATCATTCGGAAATGTTTATTTAGGTTTTTACAAATTAACCAGAATTGTACTAAAAAAGATAAAAAAATGTCATATTAAAGGAAAAGAAAAAGATAGCTTCCTCGCATTTATAAAGGAGGTAATATTGATACAAAAGCTTTGACATTTTATAATATAATGTTAACTTGTAAAGTTATATTTGTATTTTAAAGTTAAAAATACATAGTGCTTTGAAACATGAGAATATTATACCATTATATGGAATTTGTGAGAGTAAGAGTATGTAAAATAATTAATATATAATAAATTTACTATGATGAATATTATTTAATTTTATTTTCTGTTTCAAGGTCGAAATTCCTATTATCTGGTAATGCAATTTGCAAACAACGGGACGTTGCGTGAATTTTTGAAAAAGAGCAGCGAAACTTTAACCTGGGATAAAAAGATATCGCTAGCAATGGAAATAGCTGAGGGTATTAAATATCTTCATTCGTGCAACATAATTCATAGAGATTTGGTAATATTTTTTATGGTTAAGTAATTTTATTCAAATAACAATTCATTAAATTTTGTCATTTTCTATTTTTATGTAAACAAGCACTCTAAAAATATTTTAGTACATGAGAATCATATAAAAATCGCAGACTTTGGTCTTTCTAAAGACATTAATAGCATACCCTCCAGCCCTTCGGGAATGGGCTTGACACCGTATCTTGATCCTAAAATGCTAGAAGACAACGAATACAAAAAAGACAAACGATCTGATATTTACAGTTTAGGAGTTTTATTTTGGGAAATATCAAACTGTCGTACTCCTTTTGAAGGCTACAATGGTTTAGCACTTGTGCGAAAAATTATTGATCGTGACGAATTACGTGAAGATCCAAGTACCAATACGCCTCCTGAATACGTGAGACTATATAAGGATTGTTGGCAACTTGAGCCGGAAGATCGGCCTTTAATCGAAAAGGTATGCAGTAGATTGGAATCGATCTCTAAAGTTTTCACCCAAAATATTCTGCATGGAACCCATGATATTTTCAATGAAAACACTTTTACAACATCTCAGACTGAACAGCAAGTTATTAAAAGCTTATATATATGATAATTACAGTTTAAATTTATATTTGAAGATGATAGGTTTTTATTTGGATATGTATTATTATTTGCATGTACACTCCCGATCAAAAGTATCGACCACCTGATTTATGATTACAGATTATTATATGACCTATTAAAATAAGATTTACATCAAAACCATTAAGCATAAATAAATAAAATTTTTTTCTCATGCAGCTCTTGTCTTCAGCTACCTGAAAATAAAAAAATTTTTTCTTTTACAATGCTTAAAAGATGTGAACTTACTGAGTTTGAATAAGAAGAGATTATAGATCTCTGGAAAGAGACCATAATGAATGAAATATTAGGAAAATTCTTGAACATCCTAAAATTACTATTCATAACATGATAAAATACAAAAATTCAGGAAATGTCATATAAATGCTTTATATTCAGGAAAATTATCAAACTCACAGAAAGAGAGATTGAAAATCTTGTAAAATTAGTTAAGAAAGACCAATAACAATCACTAAAGAAAATGACAAAAAAATTTAGTAAGTCTTTATTAATTTCAAAAGCTTCTGGTATTATAAAACATACCTTATATATTAAAAAATTTATGGATGAACTGGAAATAGAAAATCTTTTATTTCTAAAAAAAATTATAAAAAAGATTAGAATAATATCATGAAAGAAGAGATTAGAATGATGATTGAAATTCTATTATTTAACGTGATAAATCTTGCTTATATTATTTCAGAATGATATATATCACTGGATTTGGCATAAATCACATGAAAAATATGATGTGAGTTGCTTAATTCCAACTGTAAAATCTAGAAATTAAGAGATTATGATATGAAAGTGTTTTGTGAAAGATAAAAGTGATTCTTTAATCCAAGTTTCAGATAGTATAACAGGTTTTATATATATAAAAATATTAAAATACTTTTTACTCTTATAATAATTTAGAAAACAATTCACAATATATTTTTCAAGATAATAATAATCCAATACATAGGGCAAGAATGATTAATTAATAAAAGAATAATTTGGTATTAAGTCTTTCATGGCCTGCACAGAGTCCAGATCTTAATCCAATTAAACATCTATAAAATGTTTTGGAAAGAAGAATTAGAGAACATAAACCTCATCCAAAAAATATTGTGGAATTAATGATAGTTTTAAAGGAGACGTGGAATAAAATTGAGCCAGAAGTTTTTAACAAATTTAGTTGAAAGTTTGCCAAAGAGGATTAGATAGCCATGGAAATCCAACTAGATATTAATATAATTCAGAATAAAATGATATAAATTTTTAAAATGTTTATAAATTGTTAAGAAATTAATTGTTGAAGTTTGCGTATTTTATCCGGTTTTAAAGTGGTTGGATACTTTGACCGGGGAGTGTACATTTGATAGCATTAAATAATGATACCTGACGAATGGACGAATGATTCGTCATTGATGGATGACAAATCCTTTTCTCAAGCAATTTTTGATGACAAATGGGCGATTGACGAAATCTCAATTATTAATAAATCATATGATAATTAAACTTGATTATAGAATTTTCGCGTCTTGAATGTCATCAATATAATAATATGAAGGGAATCCATGGATTCTTCAACTCTACCACTTATACATCTAATTGAAACTAAATTTTTTGTAGATTGAATACCTGTTGAAAATAAATGAATGGTTTCTATTAAGAAGTGGATTTATTGGTCTTTAATATAATACTCAAAAAAATCTTTGAATTATTAATAAATAAAGAAAGCGGGCTAATCGAATTCATACTATCTCTCACGAAACTGTCGGATCCTTTCTCGTTCAGCTTGAATTAATGGCAGCACTGCTCAACCAAAAAAGTCTTCCTTGGATAAATACCATTCTTGTACTTTGGTTAATTTAGTTTTTGTACCCGATTCATCATTCATCGACCTAACGCCAACAGAAATAAAAATATATGTTGACCTCTGAAATCTTTATATGGCATCATGTTCATTTTGTCTGTTGTTGAAGTTCATTTGTAACTTCATTCTAAAATAAATCGATGACAATTTCTTAATAGCACAAAAAGTTCTAACGCTAAGAGTTATAGTGAGCAAAATATTATTGGGTTTTTTGCAATGCAAGCATACGTAATCTTTAAGAAGTCTAAACACGATCAAACACTAAATCTCATGATTGCTTAAATACTAAATCATAACGAGTAAGATTGACTTTAATGAATACCAAAAATTTCACACGGCCATCAATTGATTTTTATTTATTCGGCGCTTGATACCTCTTCCCAACTTTCTCAGGCAATCAAAAATGAGGCACTCTTTAGTATTTGTGAATAATTTCTTAAAAAACAAAAAATCTCTTGTCACTATTATTCAACGAAAGAATTTCCCGATTTCTCGACGGTATATGATTCCGACTGGAAGGTAAATAACAAAAGGCCATATCCCTTTTTTGTTTTTTTCAGAATAATGTAGAATAAAAGTAATCGATTTAATATAAAAAGTCATGTTTCCAATAACGATCCAAATGTGATGCAAGTAGAGAAGGAAAAATTGTTAAAGGGTAAGCTTGATTCTCAACCAATACATACGACTAAATAGAATTAATATACATGTACTTGTGTATCAATTAAAAGGAAAAATCATTGATCACATCAAGTCTGCACCAGGATGGAGTGAAACATTGGCGTCAGAAAGTGAAGCGATCGTAAGCATTATTTGAATGGATTTTTCTTTTTATTTGATGATTAAAAACCGATTTTTTTTGATTATTAGGTAAAAGCTGAGCGCGAAGATGGTTATACCATCGAAGAAATTCAACATCACACTCTGAAGATTCTTCATGAAGAGGAAAACAAAAATTGAGAGTGTGCAAAGAGATATATAAATTTGAATAAAGATATCTTAATCTATCTATCATTCAATATTCAAATGAATTTGTGATTTGTGCTCAAATAAAAATCATGGCGATAATTTTACAAACCAAAACGCACACACGCATGCACGCATGTATTCGTTTCAATATTGCACTACTATTTCTGAAGAAAATGTCAAAAAGTGTTAATTTGGAAGTAACAGGAACACAGCCTTGCTATTACATGTACATGTAAATATTTTATCGTTATCTAATTTATGTATTATTTCCTATCCAGAAAGTGTTGGGATATTATAATGGTGTCTTATTACATTCGAAATTTTAATGTGTCTTTTTATCATGCTCCTGAAAAGCTTAGAAAGCATTCGGTATACTTTGTAATGCTATTGATATTTAGTTATCGCTGTGTGTTATATGGAAAAACTCCCTTTCGACACTTTGCGCCAGATTCTTCGTCAATTTCTTCACAATAAAACGGTCAAGGCGAGCAAGCCGGAGGACCAAGTTCACGTAATTTTACAATTTTACAATATTTTAAATATTCAATGGCACCTTTGGAATATTATCAATTCTTCAAGTGTCTATAAGAATAACACACTAAAGAGTATAGCATTTAAGATCAATTTTTTAACATTCTCCGATGTCTTTTGGCTAACTTGTAATCAATCAACTTCCGATGAAGATTACTCTTAAATCAACACCAAAACTGTAATGTCTTTGCTACCCGGGATTTTGATGGCGATTATGCACCTGTAAATCGTGGTTACATATATCGCGCCTGTGATTTTTGCCTTTTGATCAATTGCATCGTTAGATCCGAGAAATCGAAATGGAATAACTTTTTGTAGCAAGCGAAATGCTTTGTAATTCATAAAAAATATATGTGCGCAATTCCCACGCATAAATTACAGATAGACTTTATCGTTATCATGATCGTTTGTTTATTGTAAAGAACCTTATTACATTACGGAGGTTTTAATAAACATTAAGATAAAGGAAAGGCATTCAAAGCTAATATTGCAATCATTGTCCCTCCATTTAACATTCATATCGTCAATATTTATTTATTCATTTTTTGGCTCTTGTTTCATTATATGGTGCACTTCTGCCTTGGGGTCTCGGTGGTTCGCCAATAACTTCACGATGATATTGTTGATATTTGGCATCTTCTTCGGGATCAACCTCACGATACATTTCCTCATTACGTACATCATCTTCGGTGATTTTGAGTGACTTGCCGGTTCTTTTCTTATGAACCTCAGAGGCTTTTCGCGCAGATTCCATTCGTGCTTCTATGCTTCGATCCTATTTTGTGTGTTTGTATTTTAAGAGAGAATGAGGCATAATATAGGAGAACATGTGTTTATGTTAAAAATGTATAGTACAGATCATGTATATTCTTGCTGCGCCTGGTTTAATGCTCGCTCATTGTTCCCTAATTAGAAACGATCATCCATTATACAGAAAAAATTATGGAACTTACGCCTCGATGGCTCGCAGCGATAAAAGCCCTTTCTTGATTTTCTATACAAAAAAAAATACTGTCAAATTATGTTTTTTATATAGTAGTGTGAAAATTTCGACGACGAACCTTCGTGAGTTCGTTCTTCGTTTCGTTTATGGAGGCTGGTCATTTTGTAGTGTATATTAAATCGAAGATACGTTGCTTTGTAGCTGCAGTTGTGGTATTTTGGAGAGTGATAGTGGAAAAGAAATATGCAAACGCTCTAAAGGAAAATGATAAAATTGGTTTATGAAGTATGATTTTGATTTTATTATGCGAAGAAAATGTTTGATTGATGTGGGAAAGATTTATATATCGGATAGGAATTTCGTGATTTCATTTTAGTAAAAAAAAATGCAACAAATATGACATAATTTACAATCGTCATTGTGATGATGTTACATCGTGATTAAGAGCTAGGGCTTAAAGTTATTATTAATTTTTATGTTGTTGTAGGCATTGCTTTTTTTATTATGTAACCATAAACTCGTGTTCGAATCTCCCAAGATCATTTTTTTAGGTCATTCTGACAATTATGATAAAAGTGGCTATCTTTCTATTATGAGGTAATATGACTTAATTTCCATATTCAGACTAATGTTTCATGTAAGCTCATGCACATAAATTAATTGAAATACATAAATGTTAATTAATAGTGTGATCAGAAAGAGGAAGCGTGTGTATATTCTTTGTTACTAATTCTCTTCACACTATGTCGCCGCCACGGAACCGCGTTTCTCGTTGCATCGTCAACTGAATGTTTTTACTATGATTTTATATGAAATAATAAATTTGTCTAGTTGATATCCTTTCATTGGAAGTAAGAAGAGTTAAGCTCACCTATTTAATATTCATCGTTTATAAAAATACTTAAACTGTTTCTTTGTGAGTCATTGGATCTATACATGAATACAGTTAAGGCTGTCACATTTCGTTTGTTTCAATTGCTGACTCCGCTTTAAAATTATATTATTGTTTTTCCTAAATACCATCAAGTCATTATTCGGGCAAATGTCAAAGTTTATTTAGCAACAACTCAACTAATGTACGCCGATATCTCTATAAACAACAATAATCCAAAAACCACTTGACTCGTCCAACGAAACCTTATGTCGCTAAAAATCTTCTGAATTTGGTTAGCTTGAACCTTTTTCTATATAATGCATAAAATTTGATAGAAAGTTACCTTGAAGGAATGAAGATTAATTTAAAAGATTGCATAATCGAATCTAGGATATGACACAAATAATAGAGAAATTTTTGGATAAGACATGAGGAGAAACTTGCTCTGGGCATATTGATGCATTTAACAAACCCCCATGGCAATTAATCAAACTTTTACGATGCCGCCGAGATTGCCAGTATTCACATGAACTGATTCGTTATTATTTACATCATTTTTCTATAATCGTTACACATGTGTGGCGATCATTATGTAAATATAAATCTGCTCAACATTACATGTACATGTACAAATTTAACAAAAATTTTCTCACGCACAATTTATTTCAAAAATTATTTCTTCGCCTCAATTTTATTATGGAGCTACAAGAAACAAAACTGCAACAACAACTAGAGCCAGACCTAATACACAAGCAAGAACAAACCACGGGTATTATCTATTCACATAAAAGAAAAATATTTCAAGACCCTGAAACATTAGAACTGCAAATCTTTGATGAAAATGATGGCGGCGAACCACCCAAAAAATATGTTGCACTAGACGACTACAATGATGTTACGGAAAACAAAATTGATAATCTGAAGAAGAAAATTGGAGAGCATAAACAGAAGCATCAAGGGTTAGTTATTCAGTTTGTATTGGAAAGCATTCGTAAATCCATAATCTAACCTTTGTTCAATTGTATAGTCCAATAGCATGTCATCTACCTCCACACTGTAGACGGCATCCAACAGAATTTCCATCAATCACCGCATTCGAAATTCACTATAACTCGCATCATCGTTTCATATGCGACGAGTGTCAAGCTGTGTTTCCGACGAAAAGTTGGTTAGATATGCACTTGACGGAGTTTCATGATGTGTTGGCGCAGATTCGTAAAGAAAAGGGTCAAAAAATTGTAATGTTGTGATTCATCTTGATTTTTTTATTATTTTAATGCTTGGCGTTTTTTAATTGTGAATTGTTGGCTGATAATTTTGTTTAAAGCACAAATGCTACGTTCAAGGCTGTGAAAGGTTCTTTAGTACTCCTAAAATGAGGAGATTACACTTGATTGATAAACATCAGTATCCGACTACTTTTGACTTTGGGATGGTGAAGTTCGGACACTTGCCGTTTAATGTCCGAATAGCGGAAGAGGCAAAAAAGAAAAAGCAAAGGCAAGCCTTGTAAATTAAACTATATCTAAATTAAACAAATATTAATAGATTCTTGATCTCATATTTTCTCAGAGAGAAAAATAAAAAAGACAATGTCCAGAATCCCAACGCCTCAAATTCTTCAGGAGAATCCATGATCGCCGTATCTACATCCATGCCTGCATCGGCACCTGATAAGATTCACACTACAAGTCACAATAAAAACGAAGACGTTGATAAAGATGTTGAGATGTTAGCCGAATCATTGTCAAAGCTCACCATACCGATGACCATAAAATTTGGCCGAGATCAAGTGCGTACTCGATTATCATTCGGTCAGAGCCCTTCTTCCTCTGCGAAATTTGATAAAAAGAAGCAAAGGAAGTTTGTAAGTAAGGATAAATCAAAGCAGAAAGAAAAAGCAAACGAAGAGGAAAATCATGAAATCGGGAATACAGTTGGAAATTGTGTAGAGAAACAAGACAACAATGAAATGGTAATGGAAGGAGTTGAAGTGGAAAAGCAGATGTGAAAATGGTGTCTCTCTTATCTGAGTATGCGTATATTTATGAAATCAACACATGTAATTTTGCATAACGATAAATTATAATTTAAAGTTATCGTTATATTTATCAATCTAATTGACAATAAACGTATACCGATACCGATACCGATACCGATAAATGGTGTCGAAATAAAGATGTTCAACCATTCACGCTTTAGGAATAATCTCCATCAATGAAAATTTAAAAATCTTTATCATGTTAACGGAAAACAATTCACGATTTATTTCCTGTTGAACCTTCTCTGAAGTTCAAATGAATTCACATTTCTTTGATCGGACTTTCAGATCCGTAACTAATTTACAATCTTTTATGTTGTCTAATAGATTGTTTTATAAATCCAAACATGCATAGAATTTATTACATGCAAAAGAGTTTCAATAAATCAAACTTTAAATCAATCTTCGAATCAAAAAACAAAGATTATGTAATTAGGCTAGTTATTATTTAGTTTCTTGATTCTTTTCATTTGATTTCTTTTATGTAACAAAGTTTTTCTTCCGCAATTGGTATTTTATTATTTACCACTTATTTATTCAACAAATGGATAATAAACATCGAGATAATGTGGTCATCACAACTTCTGCCGATAGAACCGAAGATAGTTTTACGACAACTTTCGGTAAATACATGTATATCTTTATTATTAATTTTCTTATGAATTTGAAGATTTATCAGTCTCGAACACGGTATCTTTAAAATTCATTGTGAATTTATTGCACATAAAATATGACTTTGCTTTTGCACAAAAGTATCGGAATCGAGACTCATGTCGTTGCATGAGTTACTTCAACCAACCTTCATCACTCAAAGAATTCAAACCGACGTTCGAGGAAGTTTACTCAAACAAGAAGAACTTGAAGCAATCGGAAAATTATTTGATGAAGCAAATAATCCTGATAGAAACGAAGAGCTGGAGTTGGACTTTTTCGGATCTTTTTCAGTGCAACCTGATTTAATAACTCATGATCTTTCACTTTCTCTCGCTGCTACTACTGCTTCTACATGTACATGTTCTACACTTAATTTGATCGATTTCGATATTGATGATGATGTTAATAAAGGGAAAGAAGAAGTATCGTCAAAAAGTTCCGACGTTCCTGTTGGTTATTTGTTGCCATTAGACAAAGAAAAAGAGAATGAAAAGAGTCAAGAACAACATGAGGCACAACAGAACCAACAAACGCAACGACAAAAGAATATTGAAATTGTTGATAATAATCTTAAACAGCTCGAAGAAGCGCAGCAATTACAAGATAGCGACATTCAGGATGAAAACGATGAAACCGAATACGAAGAATCGGATTATCATACGTCTGCAATTAAAGTTGATTTGATCGAGGCAGAATTACATTATCGACTAAGTACTCGTACAATCAAGGCAGACTTCAGAGAAGAGATAATTGGGGAGAAATCCAATTTATCGTTCATGTTCCAATTCCATACCTGTAATATTTCTTTGTTGTTGAATGAAATGAAAAATGAAGTAAGAATTCCGATGACAGAAGTGAAAGGATTTGAACTTGTGGATGGTCGAATAATTTCTGCGCGAATATCACCAGAATTTCAATGTTCTGTGAGTAGCTCATAATAAATTTATTCACACATTATAATGTTTATTTAATTAAATATAAAACTCATAAATACATGTAGTATTATTATCATCCTACAACTTTTCAATGTCCAAATTTTTCTCGTGTGTCTAAAGATCCAACAGGCGGCTTAATGAATGGCACTTTGTCACTACTACTTAAACCATGTGAATATGAGAGCACAATAAAGTTGAGTATTGTCGAAATGGCGATTAACAAAGTATGGTACGAGCAACACAAAATTAAAAACGAACCATTGAATTTGGATGACGTTAACGAAAAGGTAGATTTATTTGGTCTCTTCTATTTTTTTCTCGACTAAATTAACATTTCGCATTTATAGATTTACATTACTTGCGTGACGCCAATCGCCCAACGAATCCTCTTATTCCCAAAAGACGGTTCGTTGAGACAATTTATTTCCTGTGTTCAAAGTCGATTGTCCATCACACCCTCAGCTATTCGATACCGTATGGCAGGTAATAACGATTCTCAAAATAATATCGTGGAAAGTGAACATCAGTGGATTGAGGCGAAAAGACAAGCATTGGATGATAATCACCAGTTTGCTATTCCCAGGTTACGTGTGCAGTTGGATTTCTAATATGAACAATATTAATCACCAACTATCAAAAGTTATTCTCGTTTACTTAAATACAGCAATAAATGTAGGATGTACTGTATGCACGTTAGATTTAAAACTTGTGATAACTGTGATATAGCGCGCGTAGTCCGATTCTTTAAGCAGTAATTGAGTTATAATTTGTTTAGCGAATTCATAAATAAATGAATGTATTAGAGAATTTTCCATGAGATGCCTTGCTCTCACTCTCCAGAACATGTTAACAATGAATATACTGGTATGAACACCAATTAAAACTAGAAACTGATGATGCATTAAGTAAAAAAAAAAGGAAATTTCAAAGGTTAAAGCATGAGTACATTAATGGTCATTGTAATGCTGTAGTTTAGCGATAATCTATTTGGAGGAGGGCCAGAAATTACATGTAAAGTCGTAAGGATGTGATTTTTGAGATTATCTCTCTCTCTCTCTATCTTAATCAATTAATTTCTGGTCCTTATAAAAAATTTGTATGCTAAATACCATATTCAAATTAGTAGTGATGAAAATAAAATATTTACGTGTGATTAATGTAATAAACTCATCGCTTAATATGGTATTAGTAAAGATTTTTTACAGTGCATACAAGCTAAAAACAGCATCTATTCAAACAATTTAAACTCATCATTATTTAATAGAGAAGACTTAAAATATAAAGAGAGTTATAGATATTTAGTAGTGTTAGAATTAAACATCACATGATATTAATATGTTCGGATAATAAAAATTTTTGTGTTACTTCAAATCTGCGAAAAGTTAGATACAAGTAATAAAAAAAATAGTTCATGTACATCAATTTTGGAAACTAGAGAACTATTTGATTAGTCTAGATAAGATAAATCTAATGTTGTTCCGTTGAACATCGAGAAATCGCTCTCAAAGTTACCGAATTTTTAATATTTTCGTAAATTTCGTAGAGTTCACACAAATCAGATGGCTTCTGCAAAAATTCTTAATTTTGTCATTGCACAAATATGCAAATACATTTGTGTAATAATGATAACGACAACGATAAATGTACATGTCTCACAAATAATAACGATAACAATAAATGTACTCACAAATAATAACGATAAAGATAATGTTTTGTTTTCTTTGGAGATAATGGGTTCACAAATTTCAACTCCACAAAAAAGTACCCAAGTGGTTGACCCAAAGGTTGCCAAAACACTCGAGTTAAGTACTCAAGTGGTTGGCCCAAAGGTTGTCAAAACACTCGAGTTATTTGAACACGAAAATGTCAAAGAACATTTTACGAATTTATATAAATATAAAGGTAAAGTTATTCACGCAATTTCAGTAGATTATCCAGAGACAGGCGATAATTCCAAAACCAAAATTGCGGACAGGCATACATATACTCATGGATTTGTCTCTGCCATTCATGAAGCCTATAATCTTCACCAACATCTTCGCCTTAAACCAGATGACGTATGGCTAACTATTGCTCAGGGTGTTAGCGAACATATCAATCTCAATGCTGAAAAATTTCGTAGTTATTTTGTTGAACATGAAGGAAAAAAATCAATTAAAGTTTATGCTGGTGATATTTTACGTTATACTAACAGCCGTCTTGAAGGTGATTGGCCTGAAGTTGTTCATCGCCTTGAAAACGCAACTTCGGAGAACATCGAAAAAATGGACCTTCCAAAAATTCTAGAGTGTGATTTCTCAACCAGTACAATGGCAGCGAAAACAGCAAGTCGTGTCATTCTCTTAGATGCATTAAAACAATACTTCAACTACGAGATCGTTACTAGATGTGGTATTCCAAAAGTGACTTTGGAAGGAACTCTAGAAGACTGGGTTCATATTCAGGAAAAAGTTGTAAACCTTCGTAATCTTGGTCTGGATATGGATTTTTGGCTTGATCGTCTTGAGCCGGTTATTTGGAAACTTGTCGCCACTTATCGCGGAAAAATCGACGAAAAATTCTGGAGTAAAGTGTTTTCAAAAAAGGGTGGTGGTCGATCGGGTAGGCCATCTTATTGGACTGGATGGATTACAGCATTCTTCCCATATGATAAACTTAGTAGAAAAATCACAACAAATAAAATAATAACCACTGGTATACCGGATGGAAGAGTTAACGTGCCTTTCGTTACTGACCTAGATCTATATTTGAGTTTTTCTGCTGGATTTTTGGGTGCCAGACAGGAACTTGTTGGCAGTGGAGACGATGCTGAAGTTTATGTTTCTCCTTTGATTGGGTGGTTTGTTGTTGACCGAGACAAAGATGAAAAAAATAATTCGAATTAATATATAGCATCTTTAATTTCTATATTTTTTGCTTATTTGAAACGATAACGATATAATCTAGCGCTAGAATTTAGTACGTCCAAGTAAGACGTTCTAAGTGTCGTGTATGATTATTATTTTATTACTTCCCGAATTCAATTCGCATTTGACCATCACAAGGGTACTTAACATTAAATAGTTAAAGAAAAGTCTTTGGAGTTGGTCAAAGTTATTGGAACTACGGTTGTAAAAACCTAATGAAAAAAAATTAATATTGTATTGCAATACCAAAATTGATTGAAGTGTTCTCCATTAATTCTACAAGATTGATTAGAATGATTTCTAGGATAACTGTCCTCTCTTCCGCCATAAATAAATCTTTCTAATTCATTATGATTTCCTTCAACTTCACCGGCCTGCCAAAAAGTATCCGGACAACGGACTTTAAACACCTATTGTAGCACATCCAAGCTTCCAATGAACGCCCTAATTTTCAAGTTTTAGAAAATATAAATTTTTGTATTTTTATTTATAAATGTTCGGAGTTATATGTATTTCGATCAGTTATTAGCGAAATTTATTAAAAACAGAGTTCTTATACCTATCTTTGCAATCAACTATCAAAATTAATTGATCTCTTTTATTAGATTCACCTTGATTTCTACTTTCAGAAATACATGTATATTGTTTCATGCTTTTCAAAATAATCATTGTTTAGTAATGCTTGAATGTGAAAAAATTGTTAGTTTATGAAAATTCAAAAACAATAAGGGAAATTAGTAAGATATTAAATCTATAGTTGATTATATAATAAAAACACAAAAATCAAGGTCAACCCATTTCAAAATCATTTTCTGATAGATCTGAAGTATTAAATGGTCATGCATGAACAAATTAATCTATAACTTGTTAATAAAAAATAATCTAGAATATATAATTATATAATTATATAGAGCTGGTTTTGATAATACTAAACATAAATTTTATTTAAAATTAATATTTAAATTCTTTCTGAAATATCAGTTGAAATTAGTAAATACAAAAGTGATCAATTTCTTTCAAATAAGAATTAAAGCATTTCTAGCAAATTAATTTTTATAAAAAGATATATTTTGAAAGCTTAGAATTTGAAGTTTTACTAAATATTAGGTTAAGCAGACAAATTTATCTGTTGAAATATTATAAATTCATATCTGATTAATTTTATTAAAAAATTAAAATTTTCAAAAATTTTTTTAATATTAGATTTATTTATATTATATAATAGTTCTTTTTTATTTTTTTAATTATTATAAAAAATTATTTATAATTAAAAATATGACTTAAAAAATTTTTTATTTAAAATTTTTAAAATTCTAAGCTTATTTTTCTTAATCTTGATTAAAACTTCTTTTAGATTAGCTTAAATAGATTTTAAAATAATCTGATCAAATTAAATATTTATTAGAATAAATTTAATTAAAATTTAAAATAATTTGAAATGATAATATTTAAATCAGATTGATTTTCAGATTGATTTAAAAATTACTAATACTCTAATAATAATGAAAAATTAAGTTATGAATTATGTAATTTTTAAAAGATAAATCAATTATATAATATAATTAATATATAATAGAAAAATTTAAAATAAATAAAACAAATATAAAAAACTAAAAAATAGTTTTTATTTTGAAATTTAATTATGGATATATTTTTTATATTTTAATAAAAAATAAAATTTTATTATATTTATTTTTATAAATAATATATATATAATTTTAATTCTAATTTAAATTTTATATCTTATTAAAATAATATAATTTATAATTTTTTTTATTATAACTAGAGTTTTAGAAAATTATTATAATTATATTATTACACTATTATAGATCATTCATATTCTTGATCTTTATATAGAAGTACCATGAGTAATAATGCTATTACTGAAAAATCTTTCACAAATTTCTTATAATAACTTGCAAGATCTAGAAATAAGTAAAATTCTGATATATTTATTGGTGCTGGCCAATCTCTAATAGTAATAATTTTTTTTTGATTAACTAAAATGCCATTTGCTAAGATGAAATATTCAAAATATTCTATATATTATTATATAATATCACATTTCTTCCACTTGACATATAATTTGTATTTGCAAAATATTTTCAAGACTATTTGTAAGTATTATATGTGTTCTTTCTTTATTTTGCTATATATTAGAATATCATCTAAGTATATAATTACAAATTTGTCAAGATAATCATAAAATATATTATTTATTAATGTTATAAAGATTGCTAATACATTTGTAAGTCCAAAAGATAGGATCAAGAACTCATAGTATTCATAGCAAATTTTAAATACTATCTTGTAAATATTTTCTTCTGCAATATAAATTTGATAATATTCTGAATATAAATTCAGCTTTGAAAAGTATTTTAAATCTGTAAGTCTATCCATCAACTTATTAACTCTAGATAAAGAATAGTGATTCTTGATAATAATTTTATTCAAAGCTCTATAATTAATATATAGTCTTAATATATCTTTCTTTTTATATACAAAAAGAACTGGTACTCTAAAGAATGAGATACTTAGATGAATAAATCTTTCTATATTAAATTAGCTAATTATTTCTTGAGCTTATCTATTTTTATAAAAGAAAATCTATAGATGGATCTGAATGATGATTCAAATCCTGAAATGAGATTAATTTTATGATCAATTGCTCTCTTGGATAATAGTTAAAATAAAGAAGAAGTAAAAGAAAAATTACTTTCATCAGAAGTATTAGATATTAAAAAAAATTTCAAGATGTCTTTTTAGAAATCTTATCAAATTAAGTATTATTAAGATATATAATAAAAAGTTCTGTATTTACTAATAGGTTTACAATTTGTTATCTTGAAATATATATTGAATTACAATTAAAGCCTAACTTAATTTCATTATCAGCTTGTACTTTTATTATTTTTGTCCTATAGGTAAAGATTATAGTATTATTTCTCTAATCTATAGTTGGATTGCCATGAAATAATCAAGATTTACCTAGAATTAAGTCATATCTTTACAGTTTTAAAACTTGTATATTTATCTTGTATATTCTATATGTATTTAATTTAAGCTTATCAATTTTTGTCATGATGATAGCTATTATCTTTTTGCCATCTGTGAATTTAATTGTAACTGATATTATCTTTTGTAATTTCACTTTATTCTTTTATATAAACTTTTTATTAACAAAGTTTCTGAATATGCTACTATCTAGTAATATCTATTCTAGTTTGTCATTTACTTGATCATTAAATTTTAATAATCTTTCTTTGTTATCTTCAAGATAAGTAAACTCAACTCTCTCAGAAGACTGTAAAGATTCTTCTTGCTTACATCAGTAAATTTGATAGATATCAAATTAGCAATAATTAGTAAATATACTGATCATTACTGATTTTTTGATTACATTGTTATGGCGAATCAGTAAGTGGGTTTTCACTTTGATTCACCCTAATGATATAGGGTTGGGAGAGACTGAAATAATAAAAGGTAAAG